AACATGTTAGACAAAACCGTGAGGATGCAAGCAGCCAGATCCAGAATGCGGGGACGTCTACCAAAAAATCACCTTAGGACAACAACCACCACAACAACATATCAATGGCATGAGAAAAGTGGGCAGGGAAACTGCTAGAGATGAAAAAAGACTTAAGGGACATACCACCCAAATACAATGTGTTTAGAGCTTGATTTGAGCAAATCTATTAGAAAAAGATGTTTTAGAGATAATCTAGGAAATTTAAACCCTGATTATGTATTTAGATTTGTTGGATAGAATATTGGTGTTATATTTGTCATTCTTTACAGTCATTATGTTAGAGATAAATCCTGGAGTATTTTCAGGTGAAATAATGTGAAGTCTGGGATTTGCTTTAAAATACTCCAGAAGAGGTAGGGGAAAGGGACCGATGAAATACGATTGACAAAATGTTTACAACTGTTACCTTACGAAGTGATCACCCCCATTTAACAAGTTTGTAATTGTTGAAACTGGGTAATGATATATGGAGGTTCATTATACTGTGTCTCTACTTTTGTGTCTGCTTGAAATTCTTCAAAGTTTTTTACATAATACAAAAGTTTGTTTCAATAAATATATATCTTTTAGGCTTTTTGCTATAAACAGGAACAGAGATGAAGGGATAGCTGGAAGGGAAGGCAGCTTGAAATTGTTTTTTAAATTTTTCAAGGTGGCAAAAATAAAGGCATATTTGTATGTTCTGGGAAAAATGGAGTAGAGAGAGCAAATTTGACAATGCAGAGAAGGGAGAATCATTGGAGCCAAGTCTCAATAAGCAAGAAGGTATGAGACCTAGTGCAAACATGGAATAGAAGTACAGACGGTTTACCCATAGTAATAGGAGGCGGAGCAAGACAAAAGGGGGGCACAGATGTGAGAAGATAGGGAGACGAGGAGATAGGAGCTTGTTGAAGTTCTCTTCTGAAACCTTTAGTTTCCTCAATGAAACAGAATGAAGGGTTATCAGGTAAGAGTGAGGATGGGGGCAAAATGTTGGAGGTGTGAGTGAGAAAGGAGTAGAATAGTATGCCTACGAGGGTGGGAGAGAGTGTATCGGGGAGATAGGGTGTGATTGCCAGGCAGCATTGAAAGGGAGCCTGATCAGCAAGGGTTTTTCTCTGGCACATTCCTTGAATTAGTGCAGGAGAGAGGTGGAGTTTCTACCAGGGCTGTGGTTTTGCCAGGTGAGAATTAGGAAGTGAGAGAGGACCAAGCAGTTGAGAGCTGTATCATACAAAATAGAGCTAGATTGCTGTCACAAAGCAACCCAACATTAATCCTATGACTTAAAGCGGATTTTATTTCGATTTTAAGCAACAGGCAGAAGTGACCATTCCAGGCCATTGGGTCTCAGCTTCAAATGGTCAATTTAGGGACCGAAGGGGCTTTCTGTCTTGCTTGTCTTTCAAGAGAAATCCTGAGGCTTTCTTCTCACCTAAATCATAGAAACTGGGTAGCAGGCACATCTATTACCAGTCATCGGAAGGGGGAAAGAAGACGTGAGGGGAAAGCATCGCCCTTGTTTTAAGGGCCTGGCCTGCAGGTGCCACACATTACTTAGGCTTATATCCCATTAGCAAAAATGTAGTTCTATGGCTACAGTGAAATGTAAGGAAGCCGGGGAAATGGAGTATGTATGGTCAACTACGAGCTTGGCTGCAATTCTATCGTTTTGTAAAAAGGAGGATGGAGACTAGTAGACAATAGATCTCTGTGCAAGGGAGTGATGTAATAGCTGACCAAGGAATTTATGCCGAGGACCCAGGAATGAGAGCATC